CAATTAAATTTAATTTTTTTTTAATAAAAGGATATATATTCAAATTAAAATTTAAAAAAAAATTATTTTTTTAAATAAATTTCTTATTTATTTATATATTTTTTAAATTTATTTATTTAAAAAAATGTTTTTATAAATTTATAAAAAAAAAAATATTTATAAAAAAAATTAAAATAGATTTTTTAAAAAATTAATTAAAAATATTTTTTTTTTTTAAATAAATTGTTTGAAATTAAAAAAAAAGTTATTAAAATTTTTTTCTAAATATTTTTTTAAAAAAATTATTAAAAAATATATATAATATATAAAACTATTAATTAATAAAATTTTATAAAAGAATATTATTTTTAATTAAAAAATTTTTTAAAATTTTATTTTTAAGAAAAATTTAATTCATGATCAAAAATATATATGTTTCAAAAATAATATTTTTTACAAATTAAAAAAATGAATTTTAAAAAATTTAAATATTTATTTTATATTTAAATTATTAAGGGGATTTTAATCAAAAAATTTTAAAAAATATTTAAAATTTTTTTTCCTTTTTTAAAAAAAAAAAATCATAAAATTTGATTATATATTGAAAAAATTGGGCAAATTTTCAAAAAAAAAAAATTCAATAGTTTCAGATATTTAATAAGAAAAATCAAAAAAATTAAATAAAACAATGTTTCTTTTGGAAAATTCCTTAAAAATAAATATTTATATTAATTTATCAAAAAAACAATGAAAAAAAGTCAGAAAAAATTTTATTTAAAAAAAAATTTAAATGAGATTAGATAAAAAAATGAAAATGAAAAATAACTTTTTTTTAGAATTTTAAAATTTTTTTTTTTGAATAAATTTTTTTTGAAAAAAAAAATAAATATTGATTCAAAAAAAATTTTAAATCAGTGTTCAAATAAAAAAAATAAAAAATTTTTCAATTTTAAAAAAAATTAAAATTTAAAATAAATAGCATTTTTTTTTTTTTCTTTTTAATAAATTTCATTATTTAAAAAAAAAATAAAAAAAATAATTTTTAAATTTAAATAATTTAAATTTAAAAATTAAATATTGGTTAATTTTTTTTTCAATTTGAAATTAATTTTTTGATTTTTTAATAAAAATATAAAAAAATATAAAAATAAATTTATGATTTTTTTTGTTTTTTTATTTTAAAATTCCATTTAAAAATTAAAATTAAACAATTGATTTTTAAATATAAAAATAAAAATATTATTAAAAAAATAACAAAAAAATTTTAAAATAAATTTTTTTAAATTTTTTTTTTAAATTTTAAAAAAATTTTTTAAAAAATTTTAAATAATTTTCAAACAAGAACAAAAATTTTTTTTTTAAATTCCAAAAAATGAAAAAAAAAAAATTTTTTAAATTTTTTTTTTAAACAAAATAAAATAGAAATACAAATAAAAGATTTTTTTCATTTTTTTAAAAAATTTTTTTTTAAAACCAAATATTTCAAAAAAAAAAATTTAAATTTAAACATCAAAAATTTATTTTTTTTTCAATTTTATTTGAAAATTGATAAAAATTTTTTTTTTTTTTTTAAAAAATAATCTTTTTTTTGTTTTTTTAAAAAATTTTAAACATTAATTAAAAAATTTAAATTATTTTCAAAATTTTCAAGAAAAAATGAAAAAATTTTATAAATTCTTTTATAACAAAATTTTCAAAATTTTAATATTTTTTAATTTGTTTTTTTTTTTTTTTTGTTTTTTTTTTTTTTTAAAAAAATTTTTCCATAAAAAATAAAATTTAGAAATTCTTTTTGGACAATTCATTTCAAGAGATGAAATTTCAAACATTTCAACCTGCCCAAAAAAAAACAATCAAAATTTTAATTGCAAAAAGGTATATTTTAAAAATTTAAATTTCATTTTAAAAGATTATAGCTTTAAAAAAATTTACATAATGAAAAAGAGTATTTGTTTTTTTTTAAAAATTTATTTTAAATAATTTAATTTTGAATCAATTGAATGGCTTAAAGCTAAAAATTTTTAATCTTAATTTAAAAATTATGTCTATTAAATTTTTAAAATCATTAATTTTTAAGAAAATTTTAAAAGATTTTTTAAAATGAAATTTTAAAAAATTTTCTAATTTCAAAAAAAAAATTTTTTTTCAAAATCTTATAAAGTTTCAATTTGACATTAAAATCCAGAAATAATTTTATATTTTTTTTTTTTTTTTAAAAAATTTTTTATCACCCCAAGCAAGGCAGTAAAGCCACTAAGACACAAGGGGTTACAGAATGTGGAAGAATTAGGAACAGAAACATTATTAATGGAGAGAAGAAAAAAAAAAGAGTAATCAGGAGGACAGTAGATAACGATTGACATTGCATTTAAATTTTTGCAGATTAAAGTTGGCTGGAAAGCATGGAGCTGGAAGGGAGTTCCATGTAAGAGAATTCTGAGAAAAGAAACTGTTAGCATAGAATTTATGGTTACATCTAGCCAGCTCAACTGTAAATTGATGAGATATTCTTGCCAGTCTAGTACTGCGCTTAAATTCAAAAAGTCTTGATTAATGGAGAGAAGTGATTAGTTTTTGGAAGTGTTAAAATTAATAAAGCCAGAATTTTGTCCCAGTTAACAATGGACTGGAGGTAATTTTGGACATCGATTGCCATTTTGACCTTGTCAGACTGATCAGTCTTACTATCGAGGAAGTAGTATCTGTCGTCGGTGTAGATGCCAAGTTGAAAGCTGATATCATCGGGAACATCATTAATGAAAATTTAAAACAGAGTATTCTTCTGTATTATTTTAAATTAAATTTTTTTTTGTCGTTTATGGAGTTCCAACAACTGGTGTTGTTGTTGCTGTTGTTGTACTTTTACCACTTGGGCTAATAATTATTCCATATTTAAAAAAAAAATTTTTTTTTCCTTCTTTCTTTTTTTTCTTTTTTACACACACCAAAGAAAAAAAAAACTGAAACCAACATGGTTCTAATTTCTTGTTGTCATGTGTGCTGAAGAAAGAAGTATGTTTTCCTACTCTATATGAGTTTTGATCCCTCATCGCCACTGCTATAACTCACTTCTAATGGTTATAGCATTATGTCTTGACTGACTACAGTGGAACTCCTCGAACTCACTTGGAGTTTTTTATTTAAGGTGTCTTGCCTAGTTCATTTGTGTTACAAGCGGTGTCTTATTTACTCCACAATAGATTGCAAGAATTCTTTGGAGATAATAATGCATTACTACTTTTCCCAAAGATATTTGTGTGTAAGTGAATATAACAAATCCAACTGGAAATGGAACTTGACTCTCTAATTTCCAATTCCAAGCCATTATCCATTTATACCACTCACACATCCAAGCTTACAGGACCTGGAATTACCAAGCGGTTACCCATCTAGGTAATGACCAGGTTTGATGTTGCTTAATTTTAATGATCATGAGAGAACTAGTGTTTGAATGTGATATGGCTGTAAACCAATAAGAACTTCAATGAAAATAATGCTTACAATTAGAATGAAACAGCTGAAATTTCTAGGACACCTGATGAGAAAAGAAGGCTTAGCAAAGTTAACACTTACAGGACATGCTGAAGACAAGAGAAGCAGAAAAAAAATGAGTAACTGATTAAATGAGTTTAAGTGAACAGATAGTAGAATATGTCCTGAAAGACTTGACACATAAAAGGAGTACAAAGGAAAAAAAAAAAAAAAAAGGTAAAATGAGTTTCTTTCTATTTGCTAGTTCCATAATTTTTAATTGTTTTTATTTCCACTCTTTCATAAAGTACATCACTGAATTTTGATTTGGTTTTTGTCAGGGGATCAATTTACAGTGAATTCTATTTTGGTTATTGTCAGGTAATCAATTTATATTGAATTTATATACCAAAGTGGCTCTGAATTTTTATAAAAAAAACTTATGTCTGGTGATGAATTTACAATGCATTTTGATTTGGCTTTTGTCAAGGGATCAATTTGAAATGGATTCTGTTTTGGCTTTTGTCAGGGGATAAATTTACAATGAATTTTGATTTGGCTTTTGACAGTGGAATCAATTTTCATTGAATTTATATACCAAAGTGTAAAAAGATATTATCCGCCATTAACTTTTATAACAAAATCTTTTGTCAGGGGATAAATTTACAATGAATTTTCATTTGGCTTTTGTCTGGGGAATCAATTTTCATTGAATTTATATACCTCATTTTTTTTTGAATTAAATTGTTTATCCGCCATTAACTTTTATAACAAAATCTTTTGTCAGGGGATAAATTTACAATGAATTTTGATTTGGCTTTTGATGGAGAATCAATTTACAATGAATTTTCTTTTGGCTTTTGTCATGTGATCAATTTAAAATGAATTATAGTTTGGCTTTTGTCAGGAGATTAGTTTACAATGAATTCTGTTTTGGTTATTGTCAGGTAATCAATTTACATTGTATTTATATACCAAAATGACACCCTCTACCCACCATTACCTTTTATAAAAACAAAACTTTTTTAATTTTTATAGACTGGAGTGATTAATCTATATTAATATGTAAAAAGAAACATTTTAAAAGTTATTATTTCTGGTCAGAGTACCTTTTATACAACTCCATTCTAACCTTAAATATTTGATTCTTAATTGTAAACTTCTAAGTCCAAATCATTCATACCTTAAAATTTAAGTTTCCTATCCTTTTTAGAATAAACCTGTAATTTTTAATGTTTAGTTAATATTGTTTAATTTCAGTATCCCAAAATCTTTCTATAAATGTTGAAAAATGCTTGATTTATGCTTAACATTGGATGGTTTGAAAGTATGTAACAAAATAGATTACGTACATAGGTGAGACTGATTTTTCTTTGGAAGCTGATGAAGGCTTGCTGACATCAATCAGAGAGTTTCCTTTTTTGAAATTGTTTGAATCCTCACTGATTAAGATGAAGTAAGCGTTAAAAACCATTTGAATTTCTTTAATGCAAGTCTCCTGTAGATCGACAAAATGAACTTCCTTAAGGCAAGAACCAGTATATTTCCTACTAAATGTCTGAATGCCAGCGTAATAACCGTGTGTACAAATTTCCATTGGTACTCCAAATATTGCTGAAAAAAAAGAAACAATTACTGTAGTATTGCATTTATGGAAATCAATTTTACAAGAATTTAAAAAAAAATCTTATCGTCATTTATTCTGTTAACACTTTTGTGCAACTATAGTCACCAATCCCTTCCACCTCTATCTGTCTGATGCTGTCCTTACAGCCTCAGCCACTGTTATTCCAATGCACCTCTTAATATCATCAAACCAAGACATGGGTGGTCAACCCTGGTGCAACTTGCCTTCCACTAGGCCCAGCAGAATGTTCTTATTATTGAAGTTGCCTTATCACATAATATACCTCAAAGCAATGGAGCTTTCTTAGTGCCATCTGCTCTCTCAATATGTACCTTGTTCTGATTTTAGATTTGTTTTGCGGACCAGATATGATGTTCGGCACCGCTTGCACAAAAGACATTTTTTTTATTTTCATTTTGCTGTCTTAGAGCTCATATATATCCGACATGTCTATTTGTGAATCAGAAGGAGTTCTTGATCAAAGCAGTATGACACCCTGCAGAATCTCCTTATTGAAGCCACCTCATTGTATAATATACCAAAAGTAACAGAGCTTCCTTAGTATCATCTGCTCTCTCAGTATGTACCTCGTTCTGATATGCACAACTCCCGGCGTTCACCTTTATCAGCAGTAACCAAATATGTAACACTGTCATTAGTCCTCAGTTTTGTTCAGACCACTGCGGTTATCTATCGTTTAGCTGACTCTTCACTCGTTAGTGCGTGATTTGTTTTGTCATGGGAGGGAGTTCCACAAGTGAGAAGTGTGAGATAAGAAATTGATAGCATAGAAGTTACAGCTCCATCTAGCCAGCTCAACTGTCAATTGATGAGATGTTGCTGCCAGTCTAGTATTGTGCTTAAATGCATACAGTCTAGGTATCATAATGAAGAGTTCATCCAAATAATTACCATGAAAGTATTTACAAAAAAGGTACAGAGAGGCAACCTTACGATGGTGGGAAAGTGACTAAAGCTGAGCCACCAGATCAGGACCAATAATATTGCTGATTTTTCTTTGGAGCTCTAGGAACATAGCAGAAGCACCAGACCATATATGGCAGCAATATTCTAAGCATAGATGAATGGCAGACTTATAGATATCCAAGATAGATGTTTTGCTCGACACAGTGAACCAACTTTCTTAGAAGATGATCTAGCAATGGACTAAATGTAGTTTTTCCACCTCACGTCAGCTGAGAACATTAGCATGAGAAGGCACAGTGAGCTACTTTCTTGGAGGATAGCATCAGCCATGATGACGGAAGCCAGAGAGGGTCTCTCAGATGATTAACAGGGAAAAGTTTAGTTTTTGGAAGGATTAAAGTTGACAAGCCACCTTTTTTCCCAGTTAATGACAGTCTTGAGGTTGTTTTGGATATCAGCTGCCATTTGGACCTTGTCTGACTGATCAACCTTACTATTGAAGCAGGAGTAAATGGTAGTTTCATCAGCGTAGGTACAAAGTTGAGAGCTGATGTTGTCAGGAAAGTCATTAATGAAGTATGAAAGAATGTAAACAAGTAGCCATTAAGAACAACTTTCATTTCATTGATAAGAAAAAATGGATCAGCTCAAAAACATACCTGGAGATACCGTAGTTTTTAAACTTGTGGAAAAGAGCTGAATGCCAGATCCTGTCAAAGGCTTTCGAGATGTCTAATGCTACAACCCAGGCTTCACCATTTTTATCTAAACCATGATAGACTCTTTACACATTTATTTTTTTTAATTTTTTTTTTAAGCATTTCATCCGAAGCAAAGTGGGAAGCCACTAGGACGCAAGGGGTTACAGAAAATTTAGAGCAAGATCAGATAGGAGTGATAGAAGAAAGGATGAGGGTAGTGGATAGATCAAGGCAACTGGAGATGTCAATTGACATTACACTTGAATAGCTGGAGATTATAGCTCACAGGGAAACAGGAAAAGGGAAGGGAGTTCCACAGGTGAGAGGTGCGAGACATGAAGCTATTAGAGTAGAAGAGACGGCTACATTTAGGAATTTTTGACAGTGAAGGGGTGAGAGCAGGATGCCAGCCTCATAAGGCGCTGGAACTCATGACGTCTGGGAACCAGCAAATGCAGCTCCTCAGAGCAATTTCCATGAAAGTATTTGTAGAACAGACAGAGGGAGGCAACAGTGTGTCTGAGAGAAAGTGACTGTAGACAAGACGCCGGGGCAGGGCCAACCACTAGTACATCAACAGTCGATTTGGAGAAACAAAAGCTGTATTGCTTGTCTGAGAAAAGACCCTATGATGAGAGATGAAGAACCAATCCAGCATTGATTAGAGCCTCTAGGACCTTCCCCAAAAGAGGCAGAAGATTAAAAGGTCAATAGTTGTATTGCTGGTAATATTTTTATTTTTTAAAAATGTATTGCTGATAATAATTTTTCCAAAATAGTATTGCTGGTATTAAAACCTATTTCTATACTTTCATAGTGTTTTGACCCCTTTTGGGGGAGGGGAGGGTTAACTATTTGCACATAGCTGAGACCCTAACAGGTGCTACCACTCCAGGTCAGGATGAACCTGGGAACATTAGCAATTAAGCAGTGGTTCCATGCTCCTCAAAACCTCATGATCAAAGGCCTTGGATGTAGTTTATTGTCTTACCCAGGACATGGATGTACATTAGTGATAAACCATGAGAAACTATTGTATTACATTGTTCTATGACACATGATCAGTAGTCAACTTCCCCGTCTCTTAATTTACTATACACTTTATTTCTTTTCTGCTTAACATATGCAAATAGGTACAATTATATTTATCAATTCACTACAGAAACAAAAGCCATACTGCTTATCTGAAAGAAAACATAGGTGTGAAGTGAGAGGCTTAACCATTTGAGAGTTGATTAGATCCTTTAGTACTTTGCCAAAAAAAAAAGTAGAAGACTAGAAAGTATGCCAGCATTCTTAAAGAACTACAGAGGAAGATATTAAATAAGCCAAGAAGCAATAAGTAGTACAATATTATTTTATTACAGTGAAGTTCATTCTGTAAAAGGCCTAGGAGTCAATCAAGGGTGAGTGTTACAGAGTAAGAGGCACAATTTATATAATGAGATTGGAGAAGATAATGGTTAACCATAGACGTGAACAGATTAAGATTTTAGTGATTGGGGAAACATCCAACTGAGAGTCGGTTCCACAAGGCAGTAGAAGAAATTAGTTCTGAACAATGGGAAAACATCCTCCTGGGAGTCAGTTCCACAAGGTAATAGTCTGTGAGAAGAATCTACTCAAGAGGAAATTAGTTCTCAACAATGGGGAAACATCCTCCTGGGAGTCAGTTCCACAAGGCAGTAGTCTGTGAGAAGAAGCTACTCAAGAAGAACTTATTTCTCAATGCTGGGGAAACATCTTCCTGATAGTGAGTTGGACAAGGCAGTAGAAGAAATTAGTTCTTAACAATTGAGAAACATCCTTTTGGGAATCTGTTCCACAAGGCAGTAGTTTGTGAGAAGAAACTACTCGAACTTATTTCTCAATGCTGGGGAAACATCTTCCTGAGGGGGAGTTGGACAAGGCAGTAGAAGAAATTAGTTTTTAACAATGGGGAAACATCCTCCTGGGAGTCAGTTCCACAAGGTAATAGTCTGTGAGAAGAATCTACTCGAGAGGAAATTAGTTCTCAAGAGGAAATTAGTTCTCAAGTCTGTGAGAAGAATCTACTCGAGAGGAAATTAGTTCTCAACGATGGAACACAGATAGAATAAGAGCGGTTTGCTGCAATCCATGTAGCATGGCTGGTCCTATCAATGAAGGTTAAAATTGGTGGAATTAAGGAATGTTGTTGTTTGAGCACTTTTCATGAAAGCAACGCTAAATCTGTGAGAGGCCTGCAATATTTTTTTCTGTGAGAGAGGGGTTGCAGTGTGGAAAATAACTTGTCACCCACAAGGGCATGGAGATGCTTTTGGTTGTATTGTGACTGGTAGGCAAGGACTAGGCAGTTTGGAGAGAACAGGAGCCAGTTCACAAGCACATTTCATTAGGACAATTATTGAACAATCTTTGTGGGAATCTAGCAGAAACCATGGAAGATGTTATGTTCATATCACTCAGTGATTCCATTTTAGGGAGAAAATCAGGCAAAGCTACCCCTAAACAGTTGAGGGGAGCGGGGAGAATATCTAAGTGAAGCATTCTGTTTTATCAGCAACAGATGATAAAACTTAAAACTAATTGCTGAAAAGAGAGATTTAGGATTTATTCTTGTTCCAGTTCTCAACAATGGGGAAAATCTTACAGAGCTGTAGAGTAATCACTAATCCCAATGGGGAAAATCCTCCTGGGCTAGTTCCACAAGGTAATAGTCTGTCTCATTCTATCAGTTCTCAATAAGGACTTTGTCTCATTGAGGACATATACTCATTATGAGCAGATACAAAGAGGCATCTGTTATGAGTCAAAGTGTCATGTTGGTATAGCTGGAAAAAAAGTGATTCCAACAATGGGAAACATTGTCATAGCTGTGAGAAGAATCTACTCGAAGGAAATTAGTTCTGAACAGGCAGGAGTGAACCAAGCAGAAGTTTCACTTGGAATTTCCATATTGGTATAAAAGCATCACTGCCAACTTTCACCCAAGAAGAGACCTCGCAAATTAACTTAATTAAATTTCATCCTCATAAGATTTATTGTCTCAACAATGGGGGAAAAAGCAAAAAAAGGTAATAGTCTGAAAGACGCTCGAGAGTAAATTAAATATATAGTCAGTTAAATGCTACACATTCTTGGATGATCATGCCTATTTCGATTCATGACTGACTAGAAAGAAGATTTTCTTGCAGTAGGTAAGTTGAGAACATCGTTGGAGAGGTATGAAAGAATTAGTACACAAAAATCTCAAAGATGAGACTCAGCAAGACTCGACCATTGGAGTGTTAAAAACTACTCATTTAGGATACATACTTTTATTAAATTACAGGAATATAAAAAGAGACAAGGCATGGACTCACATCACATACTAAAGAATCCTTAGATTTTATTAGTTGTCATTTCTAACAGATTTTGACTGCTTAGCTGTCATTTCAAGAGTTTTCATTCCAAATAGATATCAATTGTGTAGTTGTCATTTTAAATAGATTTTGAATTTGTTGCTATCATTTTGAAGATATTTTGACTGCTTAACTGTCATTTGAAATAGATTTTGACTGCTTGGCTGTCATTTCCAAGAGATTTTAACTAAGATATCTTTCCCAATAGATTTCATTTGCTTAGTTATCATTTTGTCAGCTTAGGATCCATTTCAAAGATATTTTCGCTGTGATTTCTAGGAGGTATTTACTACTTTGTTGTCATTCCAATTAGATCCTGACTGCTAAGTTATAATTTCTAAAAGATTTTGACTACTAAGTTGTCATTTTAAAGATATTTTGACTGGTAACTTTTCATTTTGAAGAGATTATGACTGCTAACTTTTGATTTCTAAGAGATTTTGATTGCTTAGCTGTCATTTGAAAGATATTATGGCTGCTTGGCTGTGATTTTTAATAGACTTTGACTACTTAGTTGTCATTCCAATTAGATTTCAATTGCTTAGTTGTCATTTCGAAACAATTTTGACAGCTAAGTTGTCATTTCAAAGAATTTTGACTGCTAAGTTTTAATTCAGAAAAGATTTTGACTGCTTAGTTGTCACATCTAAGAGATTTTGACTGCTAAGAATTAATTTTAAGAGATTTTGACTGTTTACCTCTTATGTGTAAGAGATTTTGACTGCTATGTTTTCATTTCAAAGAGATTTTAACTGCTTAGTTGTCATTTGTAAGATATTTTGACTGCCAATTTGTCAATTCTAAGAGATTTTCTCTACTAAGTTTTCATTTTGCTGAGATTTTGCCTGTTTGGTTGTAATTTCTGAGATTTAGATTGCTTAGTTGCCCTTTTTATGAGATTTTACTGATTTTTTTAACTTGTTATCCAAAAAGAGATTTTAAGCTAAGTTGTCATTTAGCTGTAATTTTGAATAGATTTTGACTGCTAACATGTCATTTAAAAGAGATTTTAACTGCTTAGCTGTCATTTTGAATAGATTTTGACTGCTAAGTTGTCATTTCTGAGATTTTTATTGCTAAATTTTCATTACAAATAGATTTTGATTGTTTAGATGTCATTTGTAAGAGATTCTGACTGTTAAATTTTCATTTCGATAACATTTTAACTGCATAGTTATCATTTCTAAGAGATTTTGACAGTTATGTTGTCATTTTCAAGATATTTTGACTGCTTACGTCACATTTCTATGTGATTTTGACTACTTAGTTGTCATTTCCAAGAGATTTTAACAAAGTTTTCATTCTCAATACATTCTGATTGCTTAGTTGTCATTTCTAAGATATTATAACTGCTAAGTTGTCATTTCAAAGATTTTTTACTGCTAAGTTTTTATTTCAAAGAGATTTTTACTGCTTACCTCTTATTTGTAGATTTTGACTGTGTAGTTGTGATTTCTAAGATTTTGACTGTTTAGTTGCCACTTCAAATAGATGCCAATTGCTTAGCTGTCATTTCTAAGAGTTTTTGACAGTTTAGCTAAGTTTTCATTTCAAAGAGATTTTGACTGCTTAGTTGCTATTTCTAAGATATTTTAGCTGATAAGTTGTCAATTCTGAGAGAATTTGAGTGCTAAGTTTTCCATTCTGAAATATTTTTACTACTAACTTTCCATTCCCTAGTGATTTTGACTACTTAGCTATCATTGTAAGAGATTGTGACAGTTAAGCTGTCATTTGTAAAAGATTTTGGCTGTTTAGATTTCATTTCTAAGACATGATTGATTAGATGTCCTTTCTAAGTGATTTTGAGTGCTAAGTTGTCATTTTTAAAAGGTTTTGTCTGATAAGTTGTCAACTCAAAGAGATTTTGACAACTTAGCTCTCATTTCTAAGAAACTTTGATGACTAAGTTTTCATTATGAACAGATTTTGCCTACATACATGTCATTTGTAAGAGATTTTGACTGCTACATTTTCATTACAAATAGTTTTTGACTATTTAGTTGCCATTCCAATTAGATTTTGATTGCTTAGTTTTCATTGTGAAGATATTTTTTATACTACTAAGTTTTCATCATGAAGACATTTTCACTGCTTAGCTGTCATTTTGAAGAGATATTCACTTCTAAGTTTTCATTTTGAGTAGATTTTGACTACTTAGCTGTCATTTGTAAAAGATTTTGACTGCTTGCTTTTTATTTCTAAGAGATTTTGACTGCTTTGCTGTCTTTTCTAATAGATTTTTACTCCAAATTTTTCATTTCTAAGAGATTTTGACTGTTAAGTTGTCTATTCTGAAAGATTTTGTCTACTAAGTTGTGATTTCTAAGAGATTTTGACTGCTTAGCTGTCATTTCCAAGTTATTTTGATTAAGTTTCATTCCCAATAGATTTCGATTGCTTAGTTGTCATTTCTTACAGATTTTGACTGCTCACCTATCATTTCTAAAAGATTTTGACTACATAGTTGTCATTCCAATTAGATTTCCATTGCTTAGTTGTCATTTCTAAGAGATTTTGACTGCTACATTCTCATTTCAAATATATTTTGATGGCTAAGTTTTAATTTCAAAGGCATTTTGATTGCTTATCTGTCATTTGTAAGAGATTTTAACAGCTTAATTGTTGTTTCTAAGAGATTTTGACTCCTTTATCAATTCTAAGAAATTTGGACTAATTAACTGTCATTTATAAGATATTTTGTTTGCTTAGCAGTCATTTCTAAAAGATTTTAACTAGGAAGTTTTAATTCATAAGAGATTTTTGTCTGCTTAGCTGTCATTCCCAATAGAATTTGATTTCTTAGTTGCATTTCTAAGAGATTTTGAGATTAAATCATTCTCATTATTTTAAATTTTCATTTCAAATAATGTCTTTATTATCTTTCTGTTAGCTGATAAATAGAAAGATCAAGATATTATTCATTAAAAATATATTTGTGAAAGTTTTCATCTCACAATTCGTGAAACATGCTTTGAAAGCAGAAAGATGCATCTGAATGGTTTGGAAGTCCCAACATTTAGCATATAACAATTACAAATGGAGGCAATGTTTCAACATTATATTTCTTTCAAAGATAATTTGGACACACTTATTCCAATTTGAATTTATTTTCAACAAGTTGTCGTACTTATTGTATTTGTACATTTTTATCCTGAGATTGTGAATATTTTAGGAGAAAAACTACCGAGTAAATTTTTTGATTTCTTCATTGATGTTTGTAACATTTTTTTTTTGATGTCAATGAATACTCATTATCACTTTTGTAATGCTCTTTATAGTAGAGGCTTTGTAATCACAGATACAACTATAGTACGCTGCTGAACAATGCTTGTGTCAAATGCCTTTGAATAACACTTGCACTAATAGTACTTGCTCAATAATACTCGCTCAAATAGTAATCCATATAGTGATCCAAATAGTATAGTTAATAGTATAGAGAAATAGTATAGTATAGCGGTCTGTATAGCAACAGAGGATAGAGTAGAAATAGGAATCCATATAGTAATAGAGAATAGAATAGAAATAGGGATCAATTAGATGCCAAGCTAATTCCCATATATACATTTCCTCTATGGTCACTTAATTCAATAATGGGATCGCCCGTGTTTACTCACTGGTGATCTATGTTCAAACTCAAGTTTCAGCAGTGACACTTTATTCCTATATAACACATTTAAATCAAATTAAATTTTTAACCAATTTTATAACTTTTCATCTTTTTTGCATTTTTTTATTTTCTTTATTTTGCTTTTGCCAAATGATTGACATGTGCACACACACAAGCAGACACAAATACACAAACGCATATACCCACATGTTTCATACAAAACATACAGATACACACAAACATACAAACATATACATGTGTACACATATAGACATGCATAGATACATATATATAGACACACACATGCAAGCATTATATATGCACAGACGTATAGACACACACATATATACACACAGACATATACATTAATATATACAGACACACATATGCACATATAAACACACACACACATACACACAAGAGGATGTTTCCCTGATCACTACAATCTTAACCTGTTCATGTCTAGTGTTAACCATTATCTTCCCCTCCTATTCATACAAACTGCTTCTTAACTTAACCCTCTAGCTGAAGAGGCCTCTGGGGCCTTGTACAGGATGAACCTTACTATAAAAACAATACATACACACATGCATATATATATATATATATATATATATATGCAATATCAATTGATAATTAGTAGGGATAATTCCAAGGAGGACATTAATCCAAGAGCTCAATGTAAGAAACAGAGCAATATAATAATTAATACAGAATCTTTAAAAATCCGTCTGGATGGATTTTTAAGGATTCTGTACTCATTATTATATATATATATATATATATATATATACACAAACTAAGAAATATATATATATATATATACACACACAAACTAAGAAACAAAAGATTTTACTTATTTTTGATACTTACCAGAGCTTAATGCAGGTAAAGCCACACTCTGTAGGCCAAGATTCACAGCTTCACACAGTGAATTCAGAACAGCTGTGCTTATTTTATTCAAACAATAATCACCACTTTTTGAGGGATGATACATGGGTCCAACAGCATGAATGATATTTTTGTATCGCTTCAGGTTACCAGCAGAGGTTGATAATACTTCCCCATCATTTAATGTTTTACCATTAAGTTTTCTTTGTCCTTCTTTGTTGACAGCATCTCCAGCTGCTTTAATAATTGCCCGAGCAACTCCACCACCATGAGCAAGCCATTTGTTAGCAGCATTAACAATGCCATCCACATCGACATTCAGAATATCTCCCTGATAAACTTTGACAAGGAGACCATTCCCAGTCTGAAAACAACAAATACTTTGGGTGCTCTGAATGGCATTTTTTGCAATACCTTCTGCAGGTAAAGCGGTGGCAGCAGCAGCCAAATTGGAATCTTCATGATAAGTTTTATTGTCTCTCCCTAAAGTGGCCAGGTTTTCTGTTTCACCAATTTTCTTAATATTATCGAATCTATCTATGGACACAGGGGTAGATGATTTCATTCCCAGCCAGACTTCAAGGAAAAATTTAGCTTCTTGAGTGAGATCCCAGTCAAGACTTTGGATAATAACACTCTGGCCACTGTTGGTTACAATAAATTTTACTAGAGGGTGGGTTTGTCTTGCTTTTAAAAGGCAATGATCAAGAATAATTTTGTTCACAGGTTGTGTAATATTCAGTTGTTCCTGCTGACGTTTATCCTTCATATTCTGCATCAATGTCTTCAGTTTTTGTCTTGCTTCTGCTGAAAGATGGAAGTGATAGAATTTTTCATTTTGATTGCCCAGTTGCTGAACAATATCTGGAATCATTGAAAGCAGATCGTTAAAGAAGAAAACATCTTCAAATTCTTCAAGTGGTATTTTAACTGAAAATAAAATTGGCTGAAAAAGCAAAAACAAAGAATGAAAATAAATATGTTGGCAATATCCATGTCACACTACTTCTCAATATATACAATTAGTTCAATCTATCAAGAATTTCGACCAGTAAAGGTTGAGTATTGACAATTAAAGGGATATAGTGCAGAGGAAAGAATGCCCCCACTCATATGCAGAATACTCAATTTCACAAGCCAATTTGACAAGATATTTTTGAGTAATAGAATATGATAAAAAGTTGATTATCTTTTTTATGGCTTATCAACCCTTTGTAAGTTATTTAAAGCAGAAACACATTTTGAATTGCAAAAACAATTTATTTTTTTGTGAGTGAATATTGTATTAACAATTTTTTGAACATAAGAATGATCTTTCCTGATACATCCTATTATTTAATCCATAGTTGGGGGAAGAGATGGATTCATACCTTTCCCAAGAGTATTTGCTCATGAATGTAAAGAATTTGACTGGAAATCAAACTCGGCTTTCTGGCTTCTTATTCTGAACTAGTATACATTATCCCAGGCATGATAAACTCAGGGCATATAGAGGGCTGCATTGGCCATATCTGCAGTCTCGAGGGCAGCATATGCTTACAGTCTTACATTAATAACAGCTAGTGGTAACTAAAATTTAATTACAAAATACTTATAATACAAGGTAGTACAATTTAATAATTTTTATGTTGTTCTGATGATTGACATCACTTTAGACAAACTATTCTTGATATATCAGGTTGGAATGTCTGTGTAGATCCCACTTTGATCAAAGATGACAAATGTTCATCAGTTAATCTGGATCTGTGAAATGTTTTTGTAGCCTTCATAAATGAAAATAACTGCTCACAGATATATGTGGAACCAAACATCACCATAATCTTTGTGGCAAGCTTTCTGAAGTTCTTAAATATCTGAGGAAGGTATGAAAAAAATCCGGGTACTCCTACTTCTAGGTACTTTGAATGTTGAGTCAGTCTTCATTTCCAGGAGTTCCATCTGTAGACTTTCCTCTGCCTGAGCAACATCAAAAGTGAATAACAATTTTGTGTCACAATAAAAAAATCTTTTCAGTAGCTTGTGACATGAAAGCCACCAAACTTCTGTGTAGAATGGGACATTTGTGAACTGATTATTCATGTCTTCCAATAAATGGCTAAACTGACAATAAGGCAGAGAACTACCTCTGATATAGTTCACTGTTTTTATGACAAAACTCAATACATGATCTAATTTTAAAATCTTAGAACATAAGTTCTGTTGATGAATTATACAATGAAAATGCTTGATTGTTGAATCTGGATATATGTTTTCTATTTCTGTACCTAACTTGACAGCAACACCATTATGTCTTCCAACCATATTGACAGCACCATCAGTAGATAAACACACAAGTTTACTCAAATCAAGGCCATACTCATGGAGAAGCTGTTCAACTTTCTCAAAAAATGTCCTGGCTTGTAGTAGTATAATGCATTGGGACCAGTTCAATTAGTTCTTCATAAATTTGCAATTCATTGTCACAAGCCCTGATGAAAACAGCAAGCTGTGTTATTCCAGCTATGTCAATAGTCCCATCCAGAGCAATAGAAAAATGTTCAAACTTGATGATAAAGTCTTCAACTGTCGACTCAAATCACCTGCCATTTCATCTATCTGTTCAGCTTAATGAAATGTCTTGAAATAAATGTGACTTCTCTGGACATACAATTCCAGCTGTTTTTACAAGACATTGCTTTATGAAATCTCATTCATTGAAAGATTTTCCACTGATGTTGATCATTTTGCAGAGTTTTTGCAGTAACAGAATTAACGTTGCCTTTCTGAATTTTTGTAAAGCAACTCTGTTGCTGTGTTAACTTAACCTTGAATTCCTTCACTCTTAAAACATGCATATCTCCTTCATATTCATCATAAGATTGATGGTTTGTTTCGTAATGTCTTTTTACATTATATTCATTTGTTGTCACAATGCAGTGGTTGCAAATCAAACAGTTTATCTTTCCATTAACAGTGCTACAAAAGTACTGTAATTCCCACTTTTCTTGAAACACACATCCTTCTTCAGGTAATTTTCTCTTTTTATGAGATGGAGTCGAATTCAATATTTTTAAGGTAAAATATTACAAAATTACGAATGTTTTCACTTTACATTTTTTCTTATTTAGTTGTCAGAGATGATCACATGATTAACCGGAAGTTAAGAATAGTCACTGACATTCGAAAACAAAAAACCATTGAGATAGAATAAACAATCTAATCATACCAATTGAAAAAAATCCCACTGTTTTTAATAATTTGCATTATCATCATAGACAAAATTCTCGATATACCACGGCTATAGAAACCTTTTTGAGGGCCACCAAGATGCATATAAAAGGCTGCATGCAGTCCACAGGCCACCAGTTTGACACAGCTGCATTATACCATCTACACTTACTATAATAGAGGGTAATGAAAACTTAATGGTATCTTTTTGAAGACAAATGGATCAGAAATTTTTGCCAGTGAGTAAACAGACATAGTGAATGGTAATGAAAGCTATCACTTGTCATGGGTATGACAATAAACTACATCCACGTCCTGGATAAGATGATAAACTACATCTGACAGCAAGGCCTTTTCGAGGCACTTGATGTTGGCCACCATGTTGAGTCTCGGGCCATATGGGAAGATGAAGGAAAGCATAACGTTGCCATCATTAGTGATCACTCTAAAAACCTTCATAATCAGCATTAGACTCATCCAACTCTTTCTGAATATCTTTGTGCAGAGGATTCAGAAAGTCCTCAGATTGACACCCAAATACACTGAAATGTTCACATTGGAAGTTCCAGTGCGAATGTTAAGTAGTACAGCATGCCATTTCCAAATTTTTGGCAGAGTGAATTGCATCATGGTGCTCTTTTCCTCACAGACGGTGCCCAACTGACCCTACTATACTGTGCAGTTTACAAAATCAAAACCAAACAATGAAATGTGCAAAATTAAAAATATAAAATGGCAACAATTTAACCATTACACCATGTCTATATATGTATGTCAGTGTGCATCTGTGTGTTGTGGGTCAGAACAAAAGTTTGTAGCATTTATTGAGTGAATTTCAAAGACAATATTTAGATATTTGCACGGATTTATTCAACCATATATGTGCCATTTTGCCATCTTTGAGACAGCTTTATGATGCTATCCTCCCAGAATTTGACATTTTTCTGGGTGAACTGGTTTAAGTAGTTTCCAGGGGAATCAAATTTCTTCCCATTAAGAGAATTTTGTAGGGATTGGGTTAAGATACAAGATCAGTGGAATATGGTGGGTGGATCAGAATATCCCAGTTAATTACTGCTAGGTCTGCAAAGAGACATGAAATGGTGTTTCACTGGTGGGAGACAACACCATTTCAATTAGTAAATTTTAGATGCCAATTGGAAATATTACTTGTCTCAATGCAACATCTGATTTAACAGGGGAACTTGTAATAAACAATCTACTTCCAATCTCACCATCTTCAGATGCAGACCAACTGTTGAAGTGCTTAACAGTGGCTCATTTATTTTTTCCTCAGAATCTTTTTCACTCCACATTGTTGTAAGCAGTCTATTTTTCATTTCTTTTAAAATTTGTATCATTTTTGTTGCATTTGAGCAGAAAATTGCTGATGGAAGTTAGCTTCATTAAATTTGTTTCTGTTAAATCACAAGGCACCCAAATATCATAGTGATTAACATATCTAAGCATTTTTCAAATTTCTTGCAATGCTCATGTGAGACAGGTGGATTATCTCTGTGATCTTCTATGTCATGTGATCCTGATGATTCTTAATCAGCATTTCAATTTGGTCATCATCAATGACTGCAGGCCTATCAGAATGTTCTTGATCTTCCAGACCAAAATTTCCACTTCTGAACCAAGTAAACCATTTATGCACAGTATTCTCAGCTATGGCACCATTTCCATAAATGGCACACATCTTTTTTACTGTTTATACAACATTCTTCTTTTCCAGAAATAAAAGTGTCAAATGAAAATGATTTTCCTTTTTAACATAAAAATATTTCAAATTTATAATTGTAGCGAAAAGTATAGTTTCTTATCTAGCAAGTAATTCCTGTCTAGTCAATTCCTCCACAACACATGTTTCCTACTTTATACAGCAGTAACCATCTGCCTCTCCCCTTGCTATACCCTTTTTATGTCCTTATTGACAGCCAAAATTTACAGATGTGAAAAGTTACTCTCACAAAACAGTATCTAACTCTGGGATTTATCCATTTTAAATGTAACCCATGAAGTCACCATTTTGACTTTTTGGACAGTTTACACACAAGACACATTCAAATCTGTGTTCACCCTGAAGGTAAGTCATTTTCTTCTAGCATTTCAAAAGAAAATGCATGCAACCCTGGGCCTTTTTGCCTTCTGCGGTAATGCACTACAATAATGAACACATGAATTATGGAGAAAGAGGCAAAGAGGCAATAGTTTTTTGAATATGTTTATATGTCATAAATTTCAGTCACATATAAAACAAAATCAGGTGTTCAAATGCTACCTATTGAAAAAAGCCTCTCACTTTTGCTCTAATTCAATGTTTTACATATTGGTATTTTTGTATAAGACTCTTTTATTTTTTAGGAAATTGTAAGGATACAGAAGGCACTTATCTCTCTTTGGTGGAGATAAGTCATGTGGATCATATGATGGCCGTTTTGTGATGTCACTCCATATTGTGACCAAAATGGTAGTCATTTTACTGTTCATGGGCAGCAACCAAACCGAAAATTTGCTTTCTTCTAGCCTAGGCCAAAGTGCTCAGGCTGAGGTTAAGTCTGCCCTTCCCAACAGTTTACAAGTATATGTTGCCATTTCCCTTTGGGACATAGATGAATCTGGCCTGCTTAAATCTGGAGTCCTAAAAATGGCTTCTCCAGGTCAGGAGTATCTCCAAATTAAATGTACGACTTTTCCTTTTTTTTTTTCTCCTTATGCTTTCTTTGTTGTGTAGATATATGTAATATATAGTTCACTATGTGAGACATGTGTATATATGTATATTTATACTTTTGTGTATGTCTTAGTATATAAAAGTCTCTCTGAGAACAATGCATGTTTGTCACTAGTTCCTTTCAGTCATTCTGTTCTCTTCCATGAAGTATCAGTGTTGTCTTATCACAGGTATAATAAGCCCATAATGGGAGGATACATCTTTCTCCTTAGCTCCCTTCTTGCTAAACTTTGTTTAAAAATTGTAATATTCATTTTATTTCAGTTTGTTGCAGTTTTTTCCAGTGAATCACAAAAAGAAAATAACAGCTTGTAAACATCAGCCAAATTTGTAGTTGCTTTCTTTTTTTAATCATTTCACCCCAAGCAAAACAGTAATACCACTAGTATGCATAGAACTACAGGGAATGAAAATGAAAGAGAATAGGGAGGATTGAGGAAAAGACAAAAGATGAACATGGTTCAAGAAGTCAAAACATAGCAATTGACATTGTATTTAAATTCTTGAAGATTGTAGTTATCAGGGAAGCAAGGTAATGGGAGTTGCACAAGTGGGTAGTGCGAGAAAAGAAATTTTTGGAGTATACATAGCGGCTGCATTTAGAAATTTCAACAGCAAAATGTCAGTCTAGTAGAACCCTTAAATTCATGTAATTGGGGCACCAGGGAAAAGAGCTCATCACAGCAGTTGCCATGAAAATATTTGTAGAAAAGACAGAGGGAAGCCACATTACGTTGGTGAGAAAGAGTCTGAAGAAAACATTTTGGAAACATTTACCAAGAGAAGTTGTATTTTATTTGGAAAACCTTTTAAAATTTTACTAGACAAATACCCTCATGTAAACATAGAAAAGTTAAGTGGTCATAGAAATTCTATTACCTTTCGAAAATTTCTGTATAAATAACATTTTCAGCAAAACATCTAGTTTCAAACAATCATTTTGTCATTATGTAAAGTCCATCTGAATTTCATACTATGGCCATAGCTGCACAGAGCTGACCATGAGAGAAACATTTGAATTATTTTCCAACATTATTAATGATAATAAAAATTAATTCAACAAATATTTTTTCCTTGTTTAAATAATTCAGTAAAGTTTTAAGAAAATCTAATTAAACAGATTATTTTTAATTATTTAAACAATTCCATTTTTTTGTTTCCATTTGACTAATTTGTTTGGTTTTGTTTATTTTGTTTTATGGCATATCAACATCAATGGGTTAATGTCGAAAAGATATAAAGAATATATGTGTTAATATTTTTTTTTTTAAAAATGTATTACTAATAATATTTTTGTTTCAAAATGTATTGCTGATAATATTTTTTTTTTAATTGTTTGTAATATTTTTTTCTTCCAAAAATGTATTGCTGGTATAAAAATCTATTTTTATACTTTCATAGTGCTTTTGACCCCAGTTTGAAGGTTAACTATTTGCCCATAGTTGGGACCCTAGCATATGCTACTGTCCCTGGGTCAGGGTGTACCTGGGAACAGAAGCAATTAAGAGTTGGTTCTATGCTCTTTAAAACCTCTTGATCTGGTTCCTTGTAGTTTATCATCATACCCAGGACAATTATATATATATATATATATATATATATATATATATATATATATATATATATATATATATAAAATGTCTGTGTGTCTGTCTGCCTGTCTGTGTGATACCTTTTCACTTGAGATCCATTCAACTGATTTTAACCAAACTTGGCACATACATTGTACAATGTAAGAGATAGGATCTAATGTAAAAAATTGATAATTTTTAAAAAAACAATAATCAATAAAGCTGATCAAAATTGATAAATTCAATTTTTTTCCTCTGATCTCATTCAAATTTGGTATGTAGGTTACTTACATCATGACTAGCTCAACAATACCTCATTTTTATTTCTACGCTACTGAATTAGTAAAAAAAATGGAAAACAAAAAATTGATTTCAGGACAAATTTTAAATTAAAAACCCCCTCAATTTTCAAGCAATCTAATATAAACTTCACTCAATTGTAGCCAACAATAAGTTGATTGTTTAACAGTCATTTAACTTGATAATTGAGTCCACCCATATAATGAAAACACAAGTAAATATCAAAAAATGGCAATTTTTACTGGTTTCTTTCTTATTTTTCACTGCTCTTTCAACTAATTTTCATCAAACTTAACAATTGCTTTATAAATCTATCCTCTTTTATATCCCTGGTAGCACACTGACAAATTGAATTTCAAAAAACTCCAAAATAATTCTGGTCTGAAGTGGGTCTTCATGTTGCCTGTTTTACCCCTTCATGTCCTCAACTAACTGCGATTGAATAAATAAACTACTTTTGTTATATCAGTAACTGTATTAATTCAAAATGTTTTTTTAATAAAAGTACTTTAAAGTAATTGAAGAAGATAGACTCTGTTACATCTAAACATGATGCTGTTTTTGAACTATTCTAATTGAATGCTTTTTCTGATTGACTAGCTGGCCATGGTTGTTAGTTTGTAATAATCTTAAATAGTAGATATTTTTTTATTAGGAATCCTCTAGCATATAACTGAATTTTAACAAGGCAGATGTAAATTCTTTCTATATAAACATTAATAACAAAATTAAAATAAATGCTTTTAAACATCAATCAAGTTCTTTGTTGTTTTCGATCAGAAGAAAACTTCTTCAGGAACAGTTACAGGTCATATTTAGTAAAAAACAAAAATATGTTATCAGAAGTTATAAAAGTCTTCATTAGCTTTTTTTTTTAAATATCAAAAAATTTACAAAATTAAAACATAAAAAAATTCAGCTCTCATGCCTTCACACACAAGCATCCCTTGAATGAAATTAGACTGAAAAATATGAGAGCACAAGATGCATTCCAGATGTTTTGATATTTTTTATTAGGGAGAGTCAGTTAGAACTGTCCGAGATTATTGTCATTTTAGTGTATCGTCACTATAGCTCTAATAAGCTGACCTGCCAACTTTTTGTTATTCCAGATTGGAGGCAACAACTGTAACAGCTCTTTGAACACACCCTACTAAACACTGCTTGTGAGAGCTGATGAGTTTACAGAATGCAGTCGGGTCGTGAAGAGAATTTGAAAGCTTGCTATGCAATAAAATTTTTGTTTAACTGGTCAAAAATTCTACAGAAACTTATAAAACAACCCAGACTGGTTAGGGATTAGGGTGTATGAGAACTAAGCACCTGTTTTTGATGACACAAGAGGTTTGATGCTGACAGACAGCAGATGAGAGCCAATGAGAGATGTGGGAGGAGACAGACTGAAGAACATCAGAACTCGTTGAGAAAATTCACAATTTTCTGGATGCACACTGTCGTGTGTCTATAATGTTCGACTATCACTTGGTTTAAAATTCTTCTTTGTCAGTCGCTGCTTTTGAAATGTTATAAAATGATAATGAGGGATGGATATAAAAAAAAATAAGGAAATTCATCAATAACCATTACTGAATGTAAATTTGATATATCATATTTTTAGCAAGATTGTATAAATTTATATATGGAGTCTCCATTAGACAATAACATCATTTTCTTTTTGCTTTCCTGGTGTGTTAATGATATTTCTACTTTGAATTTTTACCTTATCGAAATGAACATCTCACTGTGACTGTTAAAATGTCGACTTCATGGTATTCTCATGAGAGACAATTACAACTGTCCAAGATTATTGTAATTTTAGCATATATCATCCCTATAGCTCTAATAAGCTGACCTGCCAATTTTTTCTTATTTCACATTGAAAGAGACGGCTGTAACAGCTCTTTGAACACATCCTACTAAACACTGCTTGCAAGAGCTGACGAGTTTGCAGAATTGTCTTTCAATCAATTCACCCCAAACATGGGGATAATTCCACTAAGATGCAAGGGGTTACTGGGAGTGAAAGAGAATGAAAAAACCTTAGAAGGAACCAGAAACCCAATCCTAAACAGGAAACAAGGGATAAAGTTCTAATCCTGTTCAAAAGTCCAGGGAAGAGTGTGAACTGGACAGTAGAACCTATCTACTCCTATTGAGAAAAGAAAAAACCAAAAGCAAATAGTAAATAAAATTTCAGAATTTAGGTAGAGACAGCAGTATAGAATTGAAGTAGACTTTAGAAGGAAACCCAATCCTAAACAAGAAAAAGGGACAGACTTCTATTCCTGTTCAAAAGACCAGGGAGGAGTATGAACCAGACGATAGGTGAACCTATTTACTTCTATTAAATGCAATAGGGAAGTGAAGACAATTTGGAACATTACTATGCAATAAACTTTTGCACTGACCAAAATAGGCATCAAAAACTAACCCTCACGCTCCCTGCAGTGCAGGCCTTGCTCCCTTTGATTTTTGGTTGTTCCCCAAGCTGAACCTCAGGAAAAGTCATTTTGAAGACATTGAGAAGATGAAGGAGACTGTAACAAGTGTTCTGGACAGCTTCACTTTGGATGACTTGCATGGGGCCTTCACAAAGAGGCTGGATTGCTACAACAAGTGCATTGAAGACAGAATATCCTTCTTTGAAATTAATAAATGTCTCCCTAGAAAAGTCTCAAAACTTCCAGAATGCACTTTGTATATTATTTATAGATGTAGGCTATAATGAAAGATACAATACTTACATGCTTCAGTTGCTCCCCTAAGGTCTTTATTGCAAGTGAAAGATTATCAGCAGTATAAGAATAATTCATAAACTGAATCCAATTCATAGATTTTGGTGGGAGTTCGTTTTGTTGTTCTTTGATTGCAGCATTTTCTGAATTAACTGTAACAAAAAGAAAAGAAAATAGATGGATCTGTCTATATTTCTGAGATGAGGTATTGTAACTATTTACACTGTTCCGACTATTGCATCATCTTTATTATCATATTTGCAATGCTCCAGCCTTCTTCAGGTGATATTGCAATTTTGGACTGAATCCTTTTATTTCGTCCATGGAGTTAGATTGTTCTAGTTCCACGTGTCATGCCTTTTCTGGATATCTCAGTTTCAGTTAATTCCCTTTAGTAACTCAAAAGTTTTCTTCCCTCTGCTGTGGCCAGGTATTGAACTCACAACTCTTTGGGTCAAGTCACTGGATTACTTCAACCAACGCTTTTATCCACTGGGCCATGAGAAGTACTTTTTTTTTGTGATTCTGTGACTTTTGAGACTCAAACAAGAAAGGTCATCTTTAAGGCTTACATGGTTTAATCATTGATTTGAGAAAATGGTTGTATATGGCTAACAGAGATTTCTGAATGGGTTGACACCATGCATGGTATCCATATAAAAGCCTTGATCTGAGGAGGTATTTTAAGAACATAATTCAAAAAGAACTGTCTGTAGAGCAATCATCTTGATATCACACTTGTGTACAAGGGCAATCATGAATGAGTCCTCATAGACATTGCTGTACCTTTGAATAAGAACATTGTAAAGGTAGAGCAGGTGAAAATATAGTGTTATCAAGACCTGGCATGGCATATTAGAGAAATGTACCAAGCAGCAACTCAAGATGTCCCATTTGTGGTTGATGCACTCAGGACTAATCTCATGAGATTCATGGAATCTTCCTCTGCAACATTAATAGGAATATACATGTAGCAGCACTGCTCGGAAAAACCTTATATGCTGAGGAAGGTGCTGTGTCTCTAAACTGTGGGTAGGCACTGATATATGACAATCATCAAAGATCTGGCTGAGACATTTAACTGTCAGAGAAAATATCAAATCAATAATAACAGAATCATAGATTATCTTGAGATTTTTAATACAATCTAATATATAGTAAAATAATAATAATAATAATAATAATATATATATATATATATATATATATATATATATATATATATATATATATATATATATATAGGCAAAAAATTCATGGGTAAGTAATCCAAGTTAATCCTAATAATATAAAATATTAAAACTGATCCACAAAAAGAACAATATATTTATCTGTATAATTTATTATAAATTAATCTATAATTATTCATTTTTAGGTATCTCCATGAGATTGCTGAAAAGAGCATAGCATGAATAAACAGGACCTTAAACTTGATAAAAATAATTTTTAAATCTTTAAATATGTAGCAAGAGCACCAGACCCTATGTGGCAGCAATACTCAAAGCATGGACGAATGGTAAACTTATAAAGTCTCTCTTTGAGGTTAGCATCAGCTATGCTGATGGAAAGCAGAAAGCGGTCTCACAGATGATTAATAGAGAGCAGTTTCATTTGAAGGTGTTAAAATTAACAAGTCATTCATTGCCTCAGTTAACAGCAGATTTTAAATCATTTTTGTATGCAATAATAATATCATGGAGACACTGACAATATTTCCATGTCTAAAAATAATAAAATTATTTTTTATCCTCCCTAATATATAACAATAATAATATTACTTATACAGTGGAGTCATAGTCATTAGATGTGTATATGAAGTAAGATTTGGAGTTATGATAGTGTAACAATATGATTTCTCACACATCTTTAAAAGATAAGTAGATAAATTCCTCCTTTTTAAGTTCACTCAGGAATTTTGTCTACAGTTATCCTTGAGGAACTTAATTGCCGATGAAAAAAAAAGGATTCATGTCTCCAGTCCACCTTTGAATTGACAAACATAAAATTTTGTCAATGATTTTAGATAGTCTTAAAAGTAGTCTTTTGAAGATTTAACTACCCGTATGGATTTGGGGTGGTCTAAAATCTTCTGGAACACAAGTGGATGACTGCGGGGATGGGACCCCATTCATTATCCATATAAGCACAGTGAGGGACCAGCAGTAAGGAAGTAGACAAGCAGTGAGTGCCTAGGGGCCAGTAACAGAAGGATTGGTAGTGAGGTATGAACAGTCACCAAGCCAAAGGCCAGTGAGGAAGAGAACTGTGAAAGTTAGGGAGATAGCAGTTCAGTCAAAAGCAAAGATGGCTAAGTGAGAAATCATACTGCCAGTGTCTTTATAAACAATTGTCATTATTATTTCTTGTTGAATGCAATCATGGCTAAGAAGATAAACCTAAGAACATAGCAAGTTGGGTGTATATGCAGATACAATCAATCTCAGGTGTCAATACAGGTTATGTAGTGAACAAGGAGCAAAGAAATTTGCCATGAACTTTGTTACAATAGTTAAAAAACAAAAATGTTTTTTATATACCCTAATATCTGATAATAGTCTTGATAAAAGTCTGTGATTAGTGCATTCTTGCATGGTGCATGAATCTGGCGCATAATAATTTAAGTTAATCTGATTTAAAAAATATTTTAAATGAATAAGATTTAAAAATATGAGTTGTTTATACAGTAAGTATTTTTTATTTTAACTTTCTTCAAAGAGACAATTTTTTTAATTAAAATAATTTTAAGTTAAAGACAGACACAAAGAGATCCCGCTTTGCTGTTTCTTCCTGTTGTTTGTAGAGTAATTATTTATATTTCAGCTTTCTTTAAACAGACAATATTTTAATTATTTAGAAAATATTTTTGGCATATTTAAAAAAATATTTAATTTTAATTAATCTGATTTAAAAAATATTTTAAGTGAATAAGATTTGAAAATACAAATTGTTTATACAGTAAATATTTACTCCAACTTTCTTCAAATGTTTCATAAACTGAACCATCAGTGACCCAACAGTTCACAGATCAGTCTAGTATAATAATATTAATAATAGTAATAATAATAATATTACTAATATAGTGGAGCCATTGATAATATTTCCATGTATAAAAAATCAAATTATTTCTTACATACCTTAATATGTACAGACAATGCAAGAAAGATTCTCTCATTTTTGACTGATGTACTTACAGTAATATCACAAAAGGCATGTTGTCAGACTTCTTGTAGGAAAGGCAAAGTACAGCAACCCAACATGACATCAATTCCAGAAATGGTAGAAAGATCTCTGGAGAGATATTGAGTCATGCTATCAAGAGAGCAATTCAATTCTCTGATATTTATAGGATCTTACATGCAAGCATCAGGTTCTATAAATTACTCAGTTGGTCTTATCTGAATGGCCAAAACATTTTTTTTAATGATTTCACCCCAAGCAAGGCAAAAATGCCACAAATGTGAAAGTGAAAGTGAATGAAAAGACTTTAATGAGGAGAGGGGAGAATAAAGAAATGGTTTCAGGAAGACAAAAGTTGGCGATTGATATTGCATTTAAGCTTTTGATGATTGTAGGTGGCAGAAAAGCAAGACATCAGAAAAGACTTCCACAGGTGAGAAATGCAAGAAAAGAAACTGTTAGAATACAACTTATGGTTACATCTAGCCATTTCAACAATAAAGCAGTGAGACCTAATTGCCAATCTAGTAGTACATTTAAATTCATGTGGTCGATGTACCAAAGAAGGAGAGCTCATTAGAACAATTACTGCAAAAAAATATTTATAGAAAAGACAGACGAAAGCCAATCACGGTGATGGCGAAGGGACTAAAGTTAAGCTGCCAGGTTAAAACCAATAAATTTACAGACTGTTCTTTGGATTTTATTGAGAATCTCAAGATATATTGCAGGAGCTCCAGACAAGATATAGTAACAATATTCAATGCATGGATGAATTGTAGATTTATAAATGCAAAAATAGATTCTGGTGAGAAAAACTGTCTGGCACAACACTGGCAATTTTTTTGGCAGAAGTCATGAGAATGTTCCCCAAACCAATTCTGGATAACTTGTACGTGATGACAGATGCATTATCCTGTCAGAATGACCCATTGTTGTTAGGTACATAAATAAGTACAAATGTTTATAAAGACATTCAATCATGCAGTCTATGACATATTCAGGCAGACCAAACTATACACAATCTATGCCATTATGCAACCACCACTACCATCAGCCTGTACAATGTCTTGATAAAGACTAAGGTCCATGCCTTCATAAGGTCTGTGTCACTCCTTAAGTCTACCAACTGAGTCAAAGCAGTCCAATCCCCACTTTCCAGCATTAACCTAGGGCAAAGGTCAGCAATTTCTGGCTCCTAGACCCCATCCAGCCTACCAAGGATTTTTGTTTGGTGCACCAACTTAACCATTGTAAAGAATTTGCATATTTTGTTGAGTGTGTTAGTTATTATCCTGCTTTCCTGCAGTAAAATAAGGAACATTTTTAAATAATAATATTTGTTGTTTTTTTTTCTTTAAACCTCCAGATCAAGGTAGCCTTCTGGACAGAAAAGTCTGAGGTCAAGACATTCTATTACAGTGCATTTGATATCATGGCCTTCCTCCGAGACACTGCTCACTCTCTACAAAAGGTTGCCAACCCCTAGGGTATTTGTGAATAAGTGGATGTAAAAAACCTGACTGGAATTTTAACTTAGCACACAGATTTCTCATTTCAAGGCAAAGCTATAGCAAGAGGATGATGACTTTTCCAAGGGAATTAAGATCAAGTGAATGAAATAGAAGAGATCAAAACTTGAATTTGGCTTTCCAATTTCTTGTCTAAAGTCAATAACCATGACGTTATCCATGCATCTATAATGCAGATCCTATGACATCATTAATATTCTCTTAGGAGTTAATGCTAAAATTTTCATTTTCTTCTTGTTATTGTGTGACAACAATTCTTTTTAACTTACCTCTTTGTGAATTATCCAATTGGAAAAACATATCCAAGCCCTAAATGAAGAAAAAAAAAAAAGAAAATTAATACAAAGACATTTAAAACATTGAGCAGAAGTAAAAAAATGTTTCTTCAACTTAAAACTTCCTCATTGCTCATGTCTTCCACCCATGGTATTCTCACTCTTCTGTAGAACCACATCTCTTCATTCATCATCTGTGAGAAAATTTCCCAGCATTCACTGCCATATAGAAGGTTTGATATTACATAGCATTCCAGCCATCTTTGGTTTCCAACTTAACTTTCTTGTTTCTTAATACTTTAATGTTTTTCTTTCTTTAAGGTTCACTTTTTATAAGACCCAGGCACTACTTGAGGTAGAGGGTTATGTTAAGGAGTAGTTTATGAGGATAGCAGGGGAAGATAACTGTTAATTCTAGACTTGAACTGACCAAGACTTTTTATGGAAGGCATTTTTTGCTATTCCAATACAGCTTTAGATTTTGGTGTATTGTTTTCTGTTATGTATTAACCTATATCCAACCAAATTCTTTCTAGAATTGTCTCCCCTGCCACAGCATTTTTTAAGGGCACAAAAACAAAAACCTACTGTTTTAAAATTGTTATAACTTTTTTTGTATTGTGTGTATAGATTGTATTTTTTGTATACTAATAAAAGAATGGATGAGTAATCTGTCTATATTTCTAAGATGAGGTATTATGTACACTATTTATATTTGTAGCCATACTTATCACGTTTCAGCCATTGTATGCTCCAGCCTTCTTCAGGTGGTTGGAATGTCTAACTGAACCCTGGGGTAGACTGTTCTAGTTCCACATGCCATGTCTAATGGATGTCAGTTATCTCCTGTTAGTTTCCCTCTCCAAGTTCTCCATCACCTTAACCAGGTATTGAACTCCCACTCTTTGGGTCCTGTCACTGGATCTAACTAACACCTTTATCCACTGTGCCATGTGTCCTTGAGGACATCTGTGTATGAATATCTGGGACTTATAAACCTAACGTCTTCAGCAACCATTTTTACCAGTGCACATATTGCAATTTTCGTTGTTATTATTGCTTTTCTCTGGCATTACTGGTTCCCATATTGTATTCATTTCTATGCTTGGTCGGCTCAGATTTTTGTGGCCTAGCATATGTGCTGATTCCTTAAGTTCATGAATTTTCCAATGATGTTCTTGGTCTATGATCTCAACCTGATCCCACAGAGGGCGGTGATCTTCCTTTTCTCTCCATATGTGGTCAGCCATGCATGATTTTTCCACTTCCCCTTGTGTTACAGCTTTTTGGTGTTCTTGAAGCCTTACCTTAAGGGTGAGGGCCCCTGTCTCCCCTTTATATTTCTTTCTGCAGCTGCACAGGATGGTAGTACGCATAATCTTTATTCATGTTCTCCTCTATGGGAGAGGTATCTGCAAAGTGTCGTCCAGCTTTTGAAGGTTGTCCTGATGTTATATGGACCACAGATCCTTTGTATTTTCTCCGATAACCCCTTCACATGAGACAGGCAGACTGTTTTCTGAGTGTTGTTGTCCTCCTCTTGAACCCGCCTAATCCCAGTTTATTGGGGCTGCTGCCATGTACTCAGGGTAATTGTTACGTTGTAGGGTACTGCTTATACTGACCAATTCTTTATCTAATGTCTCTAGATACAACAGCCAAAACGTTGTGATAAATATGGCAACAAAGATGAGGACAATAGTCCAAAGAATATAAATAGTATGGATGAGTAATATTGTGATGTAATGCATTACGTTTTGCATACATGTTTTGATAAATTTATGTTATTTAAAAAAAAATTGAAACTCAAAATAAAAAACAAATAGATTAACAAATACATTAACAATTTAACATATTTTAACTTTTATTACTCCTTGTGGAGTTCTGGGGATGCAATAAGAAACAAAATTGCTAAGAAGGCTTTCATTTTGTCAAAAAAGTGATGTGCTTCTTCATGTTTACATACGAGAAGACACCAGCATTTGTTTGGTCTTTCTTTCATCTGAATAGCATATTTATTTGTCTCGTTGACAAATAAAGTTATTATTTCATGATTTACAAATAAATGAAATAATTCACCTTCAGAAAGGCTATTAGGTATATCTATGGTTGCCAGTAATTTCCATAAAATTAGTCAGCCATGGATGATAGTAGCTGCTAGTGGTCATCAATGATTTACTCCCTGTAGTGTTGCGCGGTTATCATCTTCAACCACTTCACCATCAATATCCACTTGAGTAAAGCCTTCAAAATCATTATTGGAGTCTGAATCAAAGAAAAACTTCTGAACAAAGGCTTCATTAGATGTTGATGCAGCCATTTTTGTCTACAAAAAATTGTGAAAAAATTAACGTGGATTTAATGGATGTTACACCTTGTGTAGAGTCTAGATGAATTCAAAATGGCATCAGAAAACAGAAGTTTAGACTCATTCCAAAGCAGAAGTAGTCAATTTTCAGCGTAAATTACCGGAAATAACAGTTGACAAGTGTTTACTCATAACAACTGCCTCAAGGCAACATAATGTGGCTAGAGCAGCAAAGGGAGAGAATTCTACAGTGACAATTTTTGCCTCCAGCATGGTAAAAGTTAAAACATTTCCCAGATAATTTGATTTCTATATCTGCTTTATTTTAAGGTCTCCAATTGTTACTTCACACTGGAGGTTAGATCATTTGATTAGATAGTACTTTTGTGATCAAGGAACATTCAAATGATGATAAGAACAGAGTAATCAAAAAATTATTTTGAGGTACTTGCTCTGTGTGCTCATGAACTGAGCTGGTCTCCTATTGTGGAAACCAGCAGTTATCACTTGTCAAGGCTCAGTTAAACTATCCTTGGTTTCATAATTCCATTTCATATACATCCTGGTGAAACTTCTCAAGTAATGTAATGGTTAGCACATCAGAACGAGAAACTATCAGGCCAAGTTTAAATTCCAGTTGAGTTTATTACATTTCACAGAAATACTCTTTTGAAAAATTCTGATCTATCTCTTTCCCCCCAGCTATGAGTTAAATAGTAGAGTAGACTAGGATCTCAAGCCAAGGTTGACAACCGGCCTAGGAGATGGGCAACTTTCCACCCAACTCCAAGTAGGTTTTGCAACCTGTCAGTTCAAAAACAGCTTCATATATTGAGGCTTTCTGTTAGTATGAGCAGCAAGATCGTATCAATTGCCAGCTTGCTAGGCCTGTTATATTGGTTACATGCAACTGGTATTCCCTAGTGGTCACCCATCTGAGTACTGAACAGGTTCAACATTGCTTAATGTTATTGATCAAACAAGAACCAATGTTTCAACATGAAATGACTGTATCTCAAAGGGAAATTCTGAATTCAAAAACCGTATATACTTCTGGCAACATATATACAGTAATGGAAGAAAAGATTATGTGGGGAAAATTGTGAAAATGGCCTACCTTGGAAATGCCTGCGAATCTGTGCTGTGTGCAAACTCCAGTTTGATAGCAGCAAAAGGAACCAAAATGGTGGTGCCCATTTTTTATGCTGGACGGTCTCGGTTAGTTAACGCGAAATCTCGCTGTCTCGTCATTCGCATGCAAATCGTGGTCAGTCCTCGGCTGTATAAAGCAGGCGCGTTTTGCTGTTTCAGATCAGAGGGCTTTTGGCTCGTGAGAAGGTTGGACGTGTGACACCAGTTTTGTCGGTTACCTTCCTCACGTTTTTTTTTGTTCCTACCTGCTATTATCAGTTGAATTGTTTGAGCAGAGTTATAGATTGGGATTTTGATGGATGTTGATGACAGACTGATTGGAATACTTATGACTTAGAGTAATTGAATTCATTAAAAAAAAATTTGCTCAGTACAATAATTATTTTTCCAGTTCATGGTTTGAGATACTGTACCCACTAAAAATAACATTTATGGTAATAAGAAATATATTACATAAAAATGAAACTCAACTGTACTTCATTTTGATGGCCATTTCACCCCTGGGATAATCTCCCTGGGGCTTGTCAATGCTAAAACGTTATTAAAAAAATGAATTTTAACGTTTTTTTTTTAAATTTGAAAAATTAAAATTAAAAAAGGAAGGAAAGAAAGAAGAAGAGGAACAAACAACAAATAAGGGAAATGGCATTTAATAGAGAGATAGAGAGAAAAAGGAAAAGAGACACTAAGGTAGTGAGAGTGGGGGTACAGAAGTCATAACATACAAGTCTAGACAGAAGTTAAAAACAGTTGAAGATAATCAATGGCTAATATTTAACTCTTGTTCAAATAGAAAAAAAAATTACATAAGAAAATGCAATCATTAAAGTTAAGAAAAAGAAGAGTTTTTAAGATTGTAGATAAAGAAAAATTTAGAAGTTAATATTATATATATATATATACAGTACCCTCAATACCAAACATTTTGGATGTTTGGTTTAGAGAAGCTGTACTGTATATTAATCAATTCCCCCTAAACAAGACTATAATGCCACTAAGATGCAAGGGGCTACCTGGAGTGAAAGAGAATGAAAAGATTTTAGAAGGAACCAGAAACACAATCCTAAACAAGAAACAAAAAATAAACCACTACTCATGTTCAAAACTGCAGAGGGGAGTATGGACTGGACAATTGGCAAAGCTGTCTAATCCTAATAAATTATATATTTTATTAATTTTATTGGATTCAACAAACAAGTAAATAGCTATTTAGTTTTTGTGATATTTTTTAAATTTTCATAGAATTTATTGAAATCCAAATAAAAATGGTTGATAAACTTTTCAAAGTTTACATTTTTACAGCTCAATTATTTTGAACTTTCTAAAACTGAATGTTATTTACAATATTTTAGACTGTTATGCTCAAAGGTCACATGGCCCAATGGATAAAAGGCATTGGTTAGATCAAGTGATTAAACCCAAAACGTTCTGAGTTCAGTACCTGGCTACAAAAGTGGTAAACCAAAAAACTTGGAGAGTTGAGTTAAAGGGAAACTGAGATGTCTGAAAGAGGCATGGCACGTGGAACTAGAATAATCTACCCCCAGTGAATAAAATAAAGGGTTCAGCTCAAAATTCCAATCATTTGAAGAAGGCCGGAGTGAACAACAGCCGAAACGTGAATATGGTAATGAAGATGAGGATAACAGTCTGAATAATGTAAATAATCATAATACCTCATCTCAGAGACAGATATTGGATGTTGTTAGTAGGATAGACAAAATGTTTTGTTAGCAGCATCATAGTATTTTTTCGAATGTAGTCATAAATGATATTAAAAAAGAAGATAAATAAATAGATTAAAAATTTACCATGTCTTTGGAGTACAGAACAATTTTGACTTCTTCTAGAGTTGTTGCAAAATATTTCTCCCGAAACATTTCGAAGGCTTCATTCATTTCTTGAACAACATGGTCAATAGGATATTTTAAGTTTCCAGTTCCCAAAGCAGGAAATGCAATTGAAGAAAGCTTACATTTTCTTGCAAAGTCCAAGCATATATACACAGTTTCTCTGATGACCTGAAATAAAAAAAATTCAATAAAGAAAATTACTTTAAAATAAGGCAGGATGTGTTGGGATTGGCAGAAACAGCTAACTGATTGTTCTACAAAGAACAATGGGATAACAGGCAAATAAAAGAAAGAGATGAGCGGAAACAAAACAATACTGCCCCAGAAACCACAACACAATAGGGTCTCTTCTGTCAAGTCGTTCTCCAAAAGTGGGGGGCTGGTTTGGGTTCCTCCACTTAGTCCCCATGTGTTTCTTCCTCTGTGGGATCATCTGGCCTATTCCCTCTCATAAGGATTTCCTCCTCCTCACTTCTGGACATATCATCTTTACTACTTGTTGAAGATCAAGAACTCAGGGAAGGACAAAGATCCCTGAGATAGCATGGCATTCCATTCACCAAGACTGATTGTGGACTAATAATTCCAGTAATTCATCCCTTTCTGAAAATTGTTGTACATTGGTTGGATGGTGGCTTTACTTAGAGAGGGTCTTCCTCGTTGTACTCTTTGTGGTCCACCTCAGACATCATTGGAGGCATTGAATCTATCCCTTTAAACCAAACATCATATCTGTAGACTAGATTTGCAGGTGCAATCAGTGGTGATGTGTCATCTTTGAGGGAGACATTTTACCAGTAGGTGACCTCTTTGACAGTACATTTCATCCTGTCCACAATCCTCTTGATAATTCTGTGATGCCATGCCATTATTCCATTTCCTGCCAGGACATGAATGCATCAGTATCACAAATGCATACTTCATCTTTTGGCAAAAGCCTGGAACTCCTTGCTGCAGAATGACAGTGTCATTGTCTGTGAGTAATTCACAATGTGGTCCCCTCTTACAGAACACAGACTGCAACTGATGTATGATACTCAATCAGTCTCGGTGATGTAATGGCTGCCATACAGAAAAACATGATGGTCTACAATTTGCTAGTGTCAGGTAATGGGTAATGCAGAATGCATATTCCATAGCCAGCCAGTGCCAAATAGTGTTCATTCCCAGTCTACTCTTTTGCCAGTGTACTGCATGTAGGATCTCTTGTTGTGCACTCCACACCGATCCCAATGGCCAACTTTACTATAGCCTTTGATATAGAAGGACAAACTCTCCTCACAAAATATGTGGTATGCCATACTCCTGTTTGCCCACTACATCGATGTAGTTGACATGCTGGCTGAAGATAGTATGCATTCTCTAATGTTGCTCCATCTTTTTCTAGCATCACTACTGTCACTACGGTGCTTGCATTGACCCATATATCAATTTCACATACCAGTCACCCCTGGCAAGATCTTCCTGTCACACACTGTTCGCAGTTTCCTTCACCATCTGTTTGAGGGGGATGTCGTCAGCTTAGTTATAACATCCCCTTGTGATGGCATTTGCCTGCCACTTGATGAAAACAGTTGCTACATGTAGCTATCCACACATGTGGAGATGTTTCACCAGAAGACATTCTATCAAGTCATGACATCAGGGACATCTGGGATCATGTTTCCCTGTGTCCATCACATAGTATTATTCTCCCTACAGACTTCTAAGCTGAGCCCACATGAGACTGGCACTGGTATCTGTTCTCCCAATCCATTTCCCCAGCATTTTCTGTGATATTGTTATGGGGTTCACCCCTTTTTCATACAAGTGGACTCGACCAGTGTGTACTTGTACTGCTGCTGCTGAATACCTAAAGAGATAGAGATACACTGATACAGTGGTAGATTAATAGAGAGAGTAAGATTTTGAGGTAACCGCTTTTTAGGAGTCACAGTTGCGAGCACGTAGACTCAGAAGGAAGTCCTACTTCGATACTGAATTTCCAAGACTGTATATATATTATTATTGCTACTAACCACATTTCTGGATCTACTAACCGTATTACCAATTGTATTATTGCGTCAATACATTTATTTGCTATATTTCATTCCTGCGTTTGTCATTCATTTTGAGACCGGATTTCATCGCGGAATCCACAACAGATATAAACATAGTTTGTCACAGCAATGCACAGTTTTGTCTCCTCGCCAACTCCCACTTTGCTCAACTCATCAACTCAAACAATTTCTAGTTAAGTGATTAGTACCACCAAATCTGTGGCAGATAATACTACTTTGCAGATCATTAGTGGAAATCGAGTCAGTATCCCAATGCTCAGGCCTTGCAGTTGCCACAATCAATCCCACCACTGGCTCCTCATTCTTCAGTATAGCTCTGGCTCACTCTAACAGCTGGCTGATGTCTGGTGCATCAATTCAAGAAGAAGCGTAAAGTGACTGCCTGACATACTCAGGCAACCCTGTTACAAATACACACACATGCACACTCAGACATTCCACCACAGGTTTGTTTGAATTCAAGCATCTAGCTATAAAGTGATCAAATGCTATGAATGGAACTGTGGCAAACATAACTGTTATGGAGTAAATTTCACAGTGTAGGCTTGTATTGGTACTAAGTTGGTCCTAAAATAGGTTCGATGTACAAAACGTTAGGAACTTCATATAATAGGTATGACACAGAGTAAATCTAGTTGTGGTCGCTGATACTTTAGTATCTGACTAACGGTCGTCCGGCATTGACTGACTGCCTGATCTCACTGAGCGACTTCCATGTTACTCTTACTACTCCTATTTATTATAGGCGGGAGAGTCTATTAACTATAGAATAGGTGTGTTCCACTATAACAATAACATACAAGGCAACCTCGATATGGCCTACATCTTTTCTTTCATCCTTTTTAAGTTATTACAACACAGTAAACTCCTCCCATCAATCAGAGTGGCAGAATTCTAGCAATGTTGTTCACACTGCACAGAACACAAAGCAGTTCAGACGTTTTAAACTATTGAACAATAGAGAGATCCCATTCTGTAGCAACAACTCCAGGTATTAGACTCAGCTTGAACATGCTGTCTGCCATGATTGCCATAATAATTTGTTGTAAAATAAGGCAAAGATGTGTTGAGGTTGGGGAAAACACCTATCCGATTACTCTCACAAGAACTATGGAGTAACAGGCAAAGAAAAGAAAGAGATGTTAAGAAACAAAAAAAAACACTGTCTCAGAAACCACAGCATGGCAGGCAGCACAAAATGACCACAGGATTGACTTCATAAGACACTGAGTCTCACTGTTGGTTACTGGTTTTCCCATCATTTTTCTTGGCATGAGACAGCTGACAAAGACCTAGATCTGGACAAGTTCCAAAGAGGCCTATATCTAGACATACCAAGCTGCCCCGCTTCAAATGGGGAAAACCCGGATGTAACTAGTTTTGACTGACATGTCTGCATGTCTCAGGGACTCTGTACAGATGTGAGTTTGCTACAGTATTATAATTACAAATGAAATTCTCTGTAAGTTAACTGGATCAACATATATCAGATGAAGGCCAGATATCACAATGACTGAAAGGTTATGGTGACAACAACAAAGATGAGGATAAAAGTTTACTTGTAAATAGTACAAATAATAATTACCTTATTTCTGACTTTCAATGCTTTTCTTTAATAAAACAAACAGCAATACATTTACATTATATATTTTGTAATCATGAGACTTAAACACAAAGTACATAAAGAAATGTCAATTTTCATGATGTTAAGTTTCAAGTTTTTATACATACTTCACATTTTAACTAGAAGATTTTATATGTTTCACATTTTAACCAGAAGTTTTTACACATGCTTCACGTTTTAACCAGAAGTTTTTATACATGCTTCACATTTTAACCAGAAGATTTAAAACATGCTTCACATTTTAACCAGAAGATTTTATACATTTCATATTTTAACGAGAAGTTTTTACACATGCTTCACATTTTAACCAGAAGTTTTTATACATGCTTCATATTTTAACCAGAAGATTTTGTACATGCTTCACATTTTAACCAGAAGAAAAATCCTAATTTCCTGCTACTCCACAGAATTAAAATCTACTAGAATTATATTTTCTTAATCCCACAAAGTTTGGTTGATATGAACTTATGATACTGTATTAAATACAACTTAGTGTATAACTTGTAGGCATCTTGCCCCTGTGAAATGTTTAATTTGGCTCATTGGTCTTACTTCTGTATTGAGTTCATTCCTAATTGATTGACTCTCATGTATGATTTTGAAGTAAACTATTCTTAAAATAACTCATGTTATCATAGAGCAGTGATTTTCAACTGGTGTGCTATGGTATACCATTGTGTTGTGAGAGGACTGTAGATGTGCCATGAAAAATCTTCTAAAAGTCATTAATTAAATTTTATTTTCTAAAGAAGTTTTGGGGTTTAAGTGGGTTGTTTACAGGTGATTATCTTCAGATAACGTTCTTAATCCAAATATACGCCAAAGTTTGGTCTTTTAAAAATGCATGCAAAGATAATTAGTACAAAAATATATTTTGCATGTACTGATAAAATTTCTTAAAATAAAACATACAACATTTAAAGAGTTCATAAGTTCATATCAGAAAGTTCTTGTGTTAAATCTCTTAGCATGTAATGTATATCATTTGTTTATTTTTGTAAAAACAATACACTAGAATTAGAAGTTTCTCTCAGCTAAGTGCTGATGGCTTACGGGTAGAAACTCGAGTTTTGGTCCTGGCTTGAGGCTTTTGAACATTTAGTTGCACTGAGGAGCTGTGATACAGCAAACAGTACTGTCTGCAAATGACATTATATATTGTTATATCTCGTGCAAGATATAATAACAAAGTAAACCCAAGTGTGGTTTTCAATAATAATTTTATAATCAGATGTAGGTATGTCAAAATACAGAGACAGAGTCAGGAGTAAGCTAACCGCAATGGTGTTAGTAAACGAAGACCTTTCTTCTTTCCCTACTCTTGACTGCGGTCGTACTTTATC